CAAGACCTGGTAAAAAACTTGGAAGGTGATTTCTAGGTTCTCAACTCAATAAAATTGAACATCGATTCTTATATTTTCTACTTAATGAAGTAATTGTAATATTACTTTCCGAAAAAAAACGTAGTTGTTGTATTAAATCTATTTAGGTGGAAACTAATTTGAATTTTTATGTAGAAAGTAAGTGAATTTGGATGTTAGTGATTGTAGTACTTTTATAAAGTAAACTATGTGCTTTGATGAGATAATTATTTATTGAAATGAATACCAGTTATTTAAAATCAAATAGAATTTGATGAAAAAATCATATGATTACGGATGAAAGAAAGCAGAAAACAAAGGTGAAGAGATTATCTCGATTTATTTGTAACATAGGAAACTCGGCAAAATTGATCGAGTTTCCCAGGATACATTCATAAGTTTTAGATATCAAGAAACTTAACTAATTGACCAATATGAGAATGAGACATCAATTAGGATGTCTAATTAGCTATTTATTTGTCTTTTAAGAGAGAGATTCTCTTTATGACTTCTATTTTCCTTTAATTTTGTTATTATAAACTATTACAAAGGTTCTCTGCATGACTTCTATTTTCCTATAATTCGTTAATCTTGGTTAATAGAAGACATTGAATTTTATTTGGCTAAAAACTTGTCATAGGTCAAGAGTTATTTTTGTATTCTATTTGTGTGAGTAATGATGAAATTATACAGAATTTTCAATATATATAAATGTTAACAAAACAACACTAAACTTCTCTTTGGGTACAATTATTATTTTGCTATTGCTAACCACTCAAGCAATTTGGAGTGACAACAAACTTGAATTATAAATAACTAAATTCAATTAAAGGAACACTTTGCTTAAGTTGAGTTGCATGATTTCTCTTTTAAATTATTANTAACTAAATTCAATTAAAGGAACACTTTGCTTAAGTTGAGTTGCATGATTTCTCTTTTAAATTATTACGTTAATTTAAGTCTGTTGTGTCATGGCAAAAAAGAAAGAATATTTGGTTGATTTTGTGACACCCACGCAACATACTCACGCAATAGTTGAAGAATATGATGATAATCACAAATGCTCAAACGGAGGCAAAGAATATCTCCTCCAAGAAGTAGAAAACCAAAGGAAGGTTCTCAAGATAAAAATGATGCATCAAGAAGGTCCAAGAGCAAATTGGAAATATTCAAACTTGAAGATGAGGAGTTCTTGAATTACCTAAATTAACATGTGATAATTCTCTTTTTGATTTTGTTGAAGTTATCCAAATCTTGAGTTTATTGGTGAACTATTGATTCTAATTCTTGGTTATGGACTATTTGCTTAATTATTTTTCGTGAATACTAAATAATGTATACTACCTAACTTATAGTCGACATCTAACTAGCAAGAGAGTTCAAAAACTTGTCTACAAAAGTTGACAAAGACACGACGAATTTGTATGATTTATTAGTGTTCATGATTTTTAACATCAACAATGAGTAATCTTTAATGCTCGAAATAGTTCATGTGTAATGCACGTGTGTACCAACTAATACATAAAAGATTACAAATAACTTTTAAATAGACAGATGTATACTAGCTCACTTCATTTGGTGAGATGTGACAAACTTTTGGCACATTTAACACTTGAAATGTGAAGTTGAGGTTATTTTTTTAATGCATTATTGTTAGGACAAGCACAAGGCATATCCCATAACATTCTTTCTTTTGGTGCCATTTGATGTTGTTTGGACCATTTATCCAATACCATAGGGGTGGTGACCTTCCGGGCCCTTGTAAATTGGAATTATGAAGTGTATTTCATTCTATTCTTATATCCATTATTGCATTAGGTCTAAGATTTCTTTTAATATATTTCCCTTTGCTATATTATTCATTAGAGGAAATTTATATCTGAAGGTACGGTGCAATATAAGTGAAAAGTGATAGATTTAGGAGAGAGATAATTTAATGTGAATGATTTTGAAATAAATATAGATGGCCGTTTGATGAGTGTATTTGAGACTGTCAGATGGACTTATTGAAGAATGTCCTATTTTATATTATAGAATTGTGAATTTTAGTAGAAATTATTGTATATAAAGAAATGTTACATAAACTTAAAATGCTGACTTAATTTGTTAATTTGATTAATAACAATTGTTAAATAGGTAGTGGGTCCCAACAAAATATTGAAACTTACAAAAAATCAATAACANGCTGACTTAATTTGTTAATTTGATTAATAACAATTGTTAAATAGGTAGTGGAAGGGTTGTTTTATAACTTTGAATGTTTTTTAGTTATTGTCACTAACTAGTTCAGTATATTTTAAATTTATGTAGCATTGATCTTATATATAAGTACGCCATTCACTAATACATAAGCATGCTCTACAAAAAGAGAAAAATAAAAGTAAGAAATATTTGAAATTGGTACGTGAGTTCAAAATATCATTACATTAAATTCAGTTTTTGGAAATATTAACTATTAGTATTGATTGTTCATTAAAAAAAAAGTATTATTATTGATTGAACTTAATTGATAGCATATCGAAAGTTAGAGAATGAAATGGAAAAAATAGAAAATGAAGGGCCAAACAGTACTCGTATATTTGCCCTAGAAAATAGGAATAGTACAATTCTCATAAATTTTTATTCCCATTCCATTAAAATTTAAATTATAAAAATTATTAAGTTCAATCCATCTTTTCTGTACCCACCCATCTTTTCTATATCCACCCACTAGGTTTTAAATTCGCCNAATTATTAAGTTCAATCCTTCTTTTCTGTACCCACCCATCTTTTTTTTGGTGCCATTTAAATTCACCCCATTCTATACCTACTCTATTAATAACTAAATTTATCTCCATATTCACATTTAAGTTNATTATTAAGTTCAATCCATCTTTTCTGTACCCACCCATCTTTTCTATATCCACCCACTAGGTTTTAAATTCGCCCCATTCTATACCTACTCTATTAATAACTAAATTTATCTCCATATTCACATTTAAGTTTTTCTTTCTATACCTCGTCTCACATTGTCTATACAAAAGTATACTCAACTTATTATCTAGTATAGATATCTCAAGTGATATTCAAGCTGATATTGTTGTAAAATTTAGTTTATTTTATTTTATGTGTTTTTTTATCAATATCAATAATTTGTACTTAAGGTTTATGTATAGTATATCTAAGATTAAACATATATATATACACCCGAACTTAACTATTATTTTTTAAGATAAATTCACATTAAAATGATTAGAATATAAAAAATATTTGACCGAAGGTTTGTCCTTTTTTTTTTNTACACCCGAACTTAACTATTATTTTTTAAGATAAATTCACATTAAAATGATTAGAATATAAAAAATATTTGACCGAAGGTTTGTCCTTTTTTTTTTTGTTAACATTCAAACAAAGTTTTTGTTTATATATTTTATTCGGAATCTAGTTATTTATAACTTGACACATCAAAATGTAATTAAGAAAACCTCTTTTATGACTTTTGTAGTTTAGTTGAACATTGTANGTTATTTATAACTTGACACATCAAAATGTAATTAAGAAAACCTCTTTTATGACTTTTGTAGTTTAGTTGAACATTGTACGTGAATTTAATTATGATTGAGGTGTGTATAGAACGAAGTGGACTTAATGAACTTAAAATTAGAAGGGTACACAAAATTGGAGTTAATTGTAAAAAGATACACAAAAAAAAAATGTAGGGTAAAAAAAATTCCTTAATTTTGATACTTATTTGTTTCTAAGTATATTATTTGAAATTTTTATATTTTTTTTTGACCTTTATATCCTCCTTTGATCCATACGTATTTTTTGTTAGAAAATGGTGCATTAAACATCTCCTAGTTTTAGAGGAAAACTTTAATATTACATATTTTTATGTCCTCTCTTGATTCATGCGTATGTTTTTTTGGAAAGTGATTTTGTTTTTAAATTATATTTAATATATCTTGATTCATGCGTATTTTTTTTTTAAAAAAAAAGTGATTTTGTTTTCAAATTATATTAATATCCGAACTCTATAACAGTATAATAATAATAGTGTAACAATAACAGTATAATAAGACATTTACACAAAATATTGTATTATTACATTTTGTCCAACATATATTTTTATATAATTTTATTTAAAACAGTCAACTTCTGTTTTAAATTTGTTATCACACAAACAAAACCACTGAACACTGTTTTTGTTACATTATTGCTTAATGAATTTGCTATATTTTTGTTACAGTGTAAATAATTTCATATTTCAAATTATATAAAAAAATAATTAAAAAATTTTGAAATTCAAACAAAGCGATGTATCCTAAAATAAACGGAATATTAAAGTTCTCCCATAAAATTATGATATATTTAATGCATGAATATAATTTGAATACAAAACCACTTTAAAAAAAAAATCATGAATCAAGGTGCATTAGAGATTTTGAATTAAATGACTTTAAATTTTAGTGGTTAAGATAAATACCTTGTTACAATTTTTAAAAAAGAAAATTTTACAAAATTGACATTTACATCTTTGTATTTCAACTGTGTACTTTTTTTAAAAATATTTTATTTTGTGAATTTTTTTATAATTATGTCTAATTTAATGTACCAACTTTCAAATGATCCTTTTATAATTAAGAGTTTAATGAGGTAGGAAAATATATATTGCTGGGGTGGTAATAGCCCGACCCAAAATGTAATACCCTTGATCTACATGAAAAATAATATTTTTTTTTTATGAAATTTTCTTCTTATTAGATGATTTATAATTAACGTGTGACAAACTTATTTCTATATATTAATATACCAAAAAACAAAAATAAAAACAAAATACTGAAGCCATCTGGCACTTGAGTAGTACGGATTGGGCCGACACTTCCGAATCCAACGTGAGGAACGTAAATCGACGGCCCAAAATCAGGGTCATTTATAATTTTTTCGATGACAAACGCAAGACAAAACTCAAGAGAGAGAGAGTCGGAGAGGAGAGAGAGAGAGACGCACCGTTGTTTGGTTGCTAAGAAAAGAATCGAAGACAAAGACCGAGAGACAGAGACTCTAATGATGAATTCCATGAAGCTTTCTTTGTACAATTCAAACTTTTGTCAATGAAATGGATGGAGTAAAACCTACCACCACCTCCTTCCCCTTCCTCATCAGCTGTTCGTTGAGTCTTCTCTTTCGCTTACAATCAACGTCGCCGACACCACCATCCACGCTCTATTCACAATTCCCGAGGCGCTTTCAACGACCATGATCGATTCCCTTCAATCCATCTTTGGATCTCAGTTGCAGATCCACCACCACCACTGCTCACACACACCTTCACTTACTCTCTCCTTCCTCTATCATGGACCCTGCCACCTCTCGACCTGCTGTAGTCATTGACAACGGCACCGGGTAATTCATCCCTATTCATACACGCATATGAGTAAATACATGTATTTCAATATACAAGTACACACCCGCCTGTTCGATTAAATTCTTCAGACAAATTGACCTCTTGTTTTTTTCTGTCTTATAGGTATACTAAGATGGGTTTTGCAGGGAATGTTGAGCCTAGTTTTATAGTTCCCACAGTCGTCGCCGTTAATGAATCTTTTGTAAACCAACCTCGGAGTTCGACGAAAAGCAGTAATTGGTTAGCACAGCATAGCGCGGGGGTTATGGCGGATCTTGATTACTTTATTGGGGAAGAAGCATTGTCCAGATCTCGGTCTAATAATACTTACAATCTTAGTTATCCGATTAAGCACGGTCAGGTAGATAATTGGGATGCGATGGAGCGGTTTTGGCAGCAGTGTATATTCAATTACTTGCGGTGTGATCCCGAGGATCATTACTTTTTGTTGACGGAGAGTCCCTTAACAGCGCCGGAGAGTCGTGAGTACACCGGGGAAATTATGTTCGAGACGTTTAATGTTCCGGGGCTATACATTGCGGTCCAGCCTGTGCTTGCACTTGCAGCTGGTTACACGACGTCAAAGGTTGGTAGTATTGAATTTTGCAGAATTCAGTAATATACAATCTATTATCTTCTAAATAGGTATTCTAGATCTATAGTTTGCTTGCAATTCTTGTCTCTTAAAGCAATTCTTTTGGAGGAGCAATAATAATTATAAAAGCTTTGATGTTGACTTAATGACCATGAATTACGATTTCTAGAGGCCTTTGAAAACCCTTGAAGCATTTCTCTTTATTAATGAATGTGGAGTTCTATGATTGGAGTGAAACTATTAGAAAAGATGAATTGTCTGTGAAACCATGGAGAAAAAAATGAAAAGAGTTTGAGATGAGAAGAGAGAAAGGTGGGAGTAAATAAAAGATAAGAGACAAGGAAGGAAGAACTAAGTTCTACGACATTGTGTTGCCAAAAAATGGAGAGAGAGAGAGAGAGAGAGAGAGAGAGAGAGAGAGAGAGAGATGAGAAGTCTAGAGAAGAGGCATCATAGAAAAAAACTAGGGATACAAGAGAAAGCAAAATATTGAAAAGTACTGGGAAACGACTTCCAGAATTAAAATTATTTTTGCATGCCTAGTAATCTTTCATTAGATTTTTGTTGCTGCTACATAGATCCAAAAGTTTGTACATCCTTTGCTTTATACCAATGCGCTTTACTCGAGAAGGCAATCATGGTTGATATTGTAATACATTATGTTAATTGAAATCCTACATGATCTAGAACACTAAATGCCTTTACCATCGTGCTAGATTCTTTTGTGTTCATTTTCTATTGATTTTGTTAACGAAAATGTAGTACTACATTTGGACACATTAATGAATTCTTCGTTGAACATCAATGTTGATTCGTTTTTGGCATCACAAATCTTCCCCAAGTAATTTGTTAGTTGGCAGCATAGGCTAATGGTTACATTGAACATACTTGCATTGAAGTTTTTAGCTTTTTTTTCCCCCTAATAAGTTGGGGATTGAAACTGTGAATTAGCTATAAGAATGTGGTATTTTCTTTTCTTCCCCTGGAAGAAAGAATCTTTGCAGCTCATAACTTTTGTCTGTTAGTAGTTATTTTTTGTGTTAATCCATTCTTGTAATGAACAAATTTAATTCTGTGAACATATAGTAACCTCATCAACTTGGGATGCTAAAGGGGTTAGATTTAGTAGACATTTTTTTATATGCTTAGTGTATGGGGATTGTCTGAAATCTGAATGTTAATAAAGCATAAACTTATCTAAATTTGCATATTCATGAAAAACCTGCTGTTTTGCTAATCTTGTTATATTTTCTTCTTCTTCATTTATTTTCCATACGTTGTGCAATGACTTAAAAGCGTGTGCACACACACATGATTACTTTATTCTTCCCTTTTCCTTTCAGGTATCTATTTAGTTAAAAATAGAAAAATGATTGTTTTTTTGGAAGTAGTGAAGTAATTGGCAAAATCTAGAATTAACAAGGGAAAAAAGAATTGAACCAGAAATTATTGTGTGTTTTCTTACCACAAAAAGGGAAAAAATAGTGATTCCTATTGTTGCACATTTAGTAGAATATAATTTTATAGAACACATATTGATTTTATCCTTCTATATTAACCTAAGCTTTCTTTTAGTGTGAGATGACAGGTGTTGTAGTGGATGTTGGAGATGGGGCTACTCATGTTGTACCTGTTGCAGATGGTTATGTTATTGGGAGCAGCATCAAGTCAATTCCCATTGCTGGAAAAGATGTCACTCTCTTCATCCAGCAGCTAATGCGGGTGTGTTATCGTTGTCTTTTATTTTGTTAATTTCATTTAGCGAATTATTAGAAGAAAGAAATAAGAACATGGAAGAATACACCGTGTAATATATATTGGGAACAATATTTTACATGTTTGTTGTCAAACGTTAAATCCTTTGCGGCATTGCCTAAGACAACTGCTTGTGCTCCATTTTCCTTCCATTTCATGTGTGGATGTATACAAATTGTTTGCATCCATAATACACTTAGCCCGCTCACATACTTCCTTAACTTCCAACAATGTATATGACACTCTGCTCCCTTCTTATATTAGAGTTGTAAGATTTCTTAGATCATCGGAACCTATTGCTCTTTCTATGGAAACTAGATTGGATGACAATCACACAACCATTCTTTCTGTTGCTATGAATCTCTGGAACTCAAATTTTATTTTCTTGTATCTTTCAAAATGGTTCTTCTTTTGTGGATGATTGCCCGAAATCCTAGAGGTTTTAGTTTTGAATTGACCAGACATATTTTTAGATTGTACATAACAGTTTCAAAATAATTATCAATGGAACTCAGGGATTAGATGGTGACTCGCTTTACATGGCTTTTCAGTTTTGACATTGTTTCATGTAGGAAAGAGGAGAGCATATTCCACCAGAAGATTCTTTTGAAGTAGCTCGAAAAGTGAAGGAGACACATTGCTACACTTGTTCTGATATTGTCAAGGTGACCTTTATTAACTTCATTTCCTCTTTAAACCTTGTAGGAAGCAAATTTTTATTACTGCCCTCTATTCTTGTTCACTGAGCAGAGACAACTCTGTTGCATGTTTATAGTGCTTTATAATTCATATTACTTTTAACCGTAATCTGAATTGGTTCATTGAGACTCCTTTTTTCTTTCTTGTTACGTGGTTGTTATCTGATTATACATACTATTTTCAAATTATGACAGGAGTTTAACAAGCACGACAGAGAACCATCAAAGTACATTAAGCAATGGAGAGGTATCAAACCAAAGACGGGGGCACCATACTCTTGTGATATAGGCTATGAACGATTTCTTGGCCCTGAGGTGTGCGTTGCCCCTTTATATCAAGTTCTTGCTTATTTTAGGCAGTATGATTAACCTGCAATGGTGGAGAAAATGGTTCATTTAGTTTATTAAGAGCACCATGCATGAACAATACCTAGTTTTTTTAGAAAATCTGCATGGGAATTTTAATGGTCTAATTTCTTAATATGGTTATCTCCTAACAGTTTTATAATTTTATCTTTTTTCATTTCATCTGAATATGTTCATGCAACCAGCTAGAAGTGTGTTTTTGCTTCATTCATCTTAGTACTATTCTTGGAGATATGTACATAAATTGTATCCTTACTGCCTTTCTCTTGTTTACAAAAGTATACTTCATTTGGTTGTTATTAGGGCATATCAGGGTTACCAGAAAATGCTCAAGGACCTACGTCCTGCAATCTGGGTTGAACGAACCCAAACGGGGGTTGTTCGTGACCTGAATCTCCTATTACAACGATCCTAAATTGAAAATCCAACCCCCAATTAAAACCCTAACCCAATCAAATTCCAAATCTCACAGAGCAAAATACAAAAGGGGAGGAAAAAACCAAGAGATAGAGGAAAAATTGAGTGCCAGTTGAGTTACATACCAGATTGAAGGCTTCACCGCTGTGAGAAGGCTTCGCCACTGTGCATCCTTGTTCGTCTCATCAGAAACTCTCTGTCTCCGTCTCTGTCTCTGTCTCTCTTAATTGGTTAATATATAATTGAACGGGTAGCTGGTGTATGGACAAGCAAGCAAACTTTTTTTTGGGTGAAAAATCTAAAAAAGGCCCATATGTTATGTAATTAGCAAACTTATTTGGGGTAAAAAAGTAAAAATATCCTTCAGGGTTCATTATGTAGTTTACTTTTGCACGCTTACATTGTAGCACATAGCCCTATAAATCGGATTTGTCTTGAAACTCGGTCAACAAAATACAAAATAAATGTTAATTAACTGATAGTTTATACATATATAAATAAAATAAGGGTGTGCAAACTATTATAGGTTTAAAACAACAAGCAATTGATTATGTTTGCGACCCAAAATAGTGTACTAGCTAAGCCAACTTCCACCGTACCACGCATCAGGAAAAGTAATGTACCAGTATCCATACCTGTACCATGTGCCCAACCGACCAGCGATCCAAGTAACCCTGGGGCATATCCCACATCACTAAATGGTGTTGCCCAAATTCGTATATGAGCAGAGTGTGCTTTTCTTCATTGATTACCAAAGTTGGATGCATTGGCATGGTATCCGAGCTATGTTTTGTACTTTTGTGCGGTTTTGGAAAATGATTTTTGTATATAATATCATATTGTGTGGGATAGTGTCAAAGTTGGTCTCATGTAGGTATAATAGCACATTCCAAACTAGTGTATAGATTTTGTAAGCCTCTCCATTGACTACCAGCAAGTTTTGAATTAGGTGTTTTAACATGGCATTAAAGGTGGGACTTGGAACATGTTGGTCAAAACTCTAACTCAATTTTAGCGATTTGGTGATTGGTGTCCCTTTTGCTCATGCCATAATTGCATTTGTTGAGTCTCTGTCTATGCTTTTTGATTCTTCTGTTCAAGGGTGCACATTGAGGGTTGACATTAGTTGAAGTGTTAAATCATGCCCTATATTGGTAAAATAGCTCTTCCCAAACTATTATGTGCACATTGAGCCTCAATTAGCTTTGAGTTAAATGCTTCAACAAGGTTCCATAGTTTGGCTTCAGGAGATTTTGGGCAAGACTTTCTGTTTCAATTGCATTGATTTGGCAATTGATTCTTCGCTTATTTGTGCCATAAGTGCAGATTATTATATCTATAAGAGTATTGCTATTTGGATCTAAAAATTTGATCTAATTTGCTGACATAATGATGTGGTTTCATACGAATTATTGGATCAACATCAAGTTCCAATGTTTGATGGGGCCTACAGTCAATCCAAAGGTCACAGTTCATTTGGTCAACAAATTATGTCAAATTTTTAGGTCCCAATAGAATTGCTCTATCTATAAAATAGTAGATGACTCTGTGGGTCACTCCACTTGCTACATATTGGTTTTGACTTTGATGCTTTAACAATTGTCCCACATCTATAGATCTACTTATTCTATAGTTGATTGCGACCTGTTAGAGGAACAATGTCAGACAGGTATTTTTTAGTCCTGAACTTAACTGATGAGTAATCTGGCTTATTATGCAGGTATTTTTCAGTCCTGAGATTTACAGTAGTGAGTTTACAACCCCTTTACCAGCTGTAATAGACAAGTGTATTCAGTCTGCTCCAATTGACACAAGAAGGGCTTTGTATAAGGTGGAGTAAGATGAACCCTCAGAATTTGTATTGTCGAGTGATATAGAATACCAATATTGGGAGCATTGATAAATGGTTTTTGTCTGCTCGAAATATTGCATTATGGTTAAGTTTCTACACTGGTAAGGAGGGCAATCCCTCCTATCATTCTTATCTTATCTCCTCCTTTTGATTGAATAGTCTGCTGTAATGTGCTTTAAACATCTATCATCAGGTAGTAAAGTTTGAGTGTGTTTACTTGAGAAAATTGCGACTGGCAATGGCTGGTAGTTCGTAAAGGTTTTGCCTAAAAATTTTAGTCCAGAATTGAGTTCATAATCTGCATTTTTTTGAATGGTATGACATTCATTTGCATGCTCCTTTGTGTCCAGCAGCTTTAATTTTTTATTTTTTATTTTGCATGGCACAGACTGATTGTGTGAGCATGTGTATACTATCCTCTTTTTTTAGCTCATCTATTACATTTACCTCAGAATGTAGTACTCTCTGGAGGATCAACTATGTTCAAAGACTTCCACCGAAGGTTGCAACGGGATTTAAAGAAAATTGTGGATGCTCGGGTTCTTGCATCTGATGCTAGGCATGGTGGAGAAATAAAAGTAAGGATTTCTGTTATTTTATTTATTGTTTTTTTAAAGCAAAACTTAACCTTTTGGTCAATGAAAAATGGAAGGGTTGAGTTTTGAAAATTTTGCCTCCAGGCACAGCCAGTGGAAGTCAATGTCGTCAGCCATCCTATCCAGAGGTATGCAGTTTGGTTTGGAGGTTCAGTACTTGGATCAACACCCGAATTTTTTGCGGTATGTTTTGCTTCTCTTTAATCTGGAATAATATTTTTTTTGTCCCCCTTTGGTTTGTAGTTAATAATACATTGCCATCAATTCCAGACACCTGTGTATGCAATGATGCATTAGTATATGGTATGACCTGAAGCTTGTATGCATTCAGTAATATTACCTGGCTTCTCTATTAGTAACTTTAACAGCAAACACAAGTACAACCCCCTTCCCCCCACCCCCCCTTCTCTTCCCAACATAGGGGAGGGGGGTGTTGGCCAGACAAGTTGATAATAAATGCACATGAACAAAAGTAGACGAAGTAGAGTGTTTACTTGTTCATGATTTTTTTTTTTTTTTTAAGATTAGGTTATACATCATTTATGGAGGACTAGGGACAGGATAAGAAGAACAATCAATTTTACCAAAGTTTCTTGTTTGACTAAATTCATAATTTTGGGACTAAGTAATTTTTGGTCGGTGCACAGGCTTGCCACACAAAAGCAGAGTACGAGGAATATGGGGCAAGCATATGCCGTACAAATCCTGTTTTCAAGGGAATGTATTGATATGAAGATCATTTCAACGATTGACAATGGAGGCACTCCCTTATTGTTTATTCCTGTAATATGTGTCCGCATGGCTTTCATGTGTATTTACAAGCTGGGTTCGTGGTAGGGAGCTCGTGTACAATAGATGTTTAGTCTCAGTTGTAACAAAATGAGTTTCTTGTATTCTTTCCTTTGTTTTTTTTTTTTTTTGGGGTGGGGGGGCAATAAGTCCGAGGAGCTGGTGGGATATTGTTGCTGCTGTTGTTGGCGAGCCTAGTTGGGATTTCAGCATCAGATAAGTCATCCATTGGGTAGACATTAACTGAGCTGAATGGCATTTTTGGTGTTCAGCTTAGTTTCGAGTTTGATAAGAATTTTTGCATGTTGATGATAGACGAAAATCACTATAGTATGTTTCGGATAGAATCTTGGATTCATTTGTGGTGACATTGAAGGCTTTATAGAATTGACATATTGATTTACAAGCTTCATTTATTTATACCCAATTGAAATTTTGATCTTAACGTGTGCATTTGATTTTCAAGTCGGTTTGATGGCAATAAGAACAACTTTAAATCGTCTTCATGTTACAAATAGAGATTTCTCAAACCCCTCTTAAAGGAGGCAATCGGGCATAACAATAAAACACAGGTTCATTGTGCTTTTGATTTGGCCTGGATTGTAGAGTTACTGACTTCTTTTGTTTGATGGACTAATAGTAATGGTAAAGCTAGGCCAGCCTACTCCCATGCCATGGTCGAAGCTTTAAGCTCCTTAAACGGAACTATGTATTAGGCATTAGAGAGAGCAGAACTCCACTCAACACCTAAGGTGTGGTTTAATGCCGAACAAAAAGGGCCAAAAGAGAGAGAAAAAGGGCATAAAAGAGAAGTGTGGATGAGAAAGAAAGAGAAAGAACACATGCATGAAGATTATGTATGTTAGAAGTTTGAGCATCTATTAAAGAATATCTAAGACTAAGAAAGAATTCAAGTCCATTATTGAGAAAATCGTGATCTCTTCTTGCTTGTTAGGAGAAAAGAAGTTTTCGAACTATTTTTTCGAGCGATCACTCAACAATAAACACTAAATGAAAATTGTCAAAATGATTACCTATCCCTCACGAGAATCGAATCTGTGTCTTCAACATAAAAAAGAAAATGTTCTAACCACATGATATAAGGTATCAAACAGTCACCACATGAAAAAAGGGATCAAACAGTCGTCCTTCATATAAATCATCTCTGGTTATACAGTAGCAACAAAAAATTTTATATTAGTAAATAAGGATTCTATTTTAAAATAGTAAATTATTTCAGGAAAAATATAAACTTTATTCGTAAAATCCAACTTACCCCCTTATGGTTTAGGCCTTTGCACATGACCTCCCTGTAGTTTGGAAATAAGCACATAACTCCCTTTTGTTTTTGGACTAAAGTGCTGCCCTCTTAAATTCCGTCAAAATTGACAGAATTTGTTATACATGCGTCTAATGAGTGTGTCACACATTTTAATCAAAGTTAGCTTTCAATGAAAGGACAAAACTACCCATACGATTGTTATGAAAAAACAAAAAAATCCCACTCCATCTTCTTCTACCTTCTGCCACCCACTTTACAATACCTCCATTCCCTCCCACAAAACTCACTTCCCCATCGGGAACCTTCCACATCTAAGTTACCCAACCCATTGTCGCACAACCACCCAACCAAATGAGAAAAGGGAATGAAGGTGAGTTTTCATGGTGTGGTGGAAAAGTAAGCATAAAGCTTACACATGGGCTTATGCTTCCCATATTAATTTATGCAAAAGCTCTGTATATCGGCCGTCTCTTTGCCCATACCCATTAGTCTCTCTTTGAGATAATACCTCACCTCAACAGACTCAACTCCTCCAAGCTACCCACAGATACACAACCCACAAATACACACACAAACACATTATGTCATAGTGGTTGTGTTGACCCATGAATTGGGTGATCACACTTGGCTCATGAATGTATATAATTATTGGTGGTTATTGTGCGTGCAAGATCTTGCACAATATAAACACGAGAACAGATCTCTCCCGTGGTGAACTCGAGTCAGTCAATCAAATGGTCAACCTTGCTGCTTGGAACAGACTGTGAGGTCCGGTGGTGGCCTGGAACGGTAATGGGTGACTTTCGTGGATCAACGGAGCGGTCCAGTAAGGCTGAGGGAGGTTCCTGGAACAGAAAAAAATGAGTTAGGAGGGCGCCGGAGTGTTTTTCGGCGTATCCCCTCCGACGATCAAGTCAGTTCTTTGAAAGAGGGGAAGGAGAAAACACTGTGTATTTCTTTGAGAAAAAGTTTTTTGTTGCATACCGTCTTGCCTTTTATGAGGAGTATTTATACCTCAAAAACTCATGATTGCTGTCAGTGTGGTCAGTAGGTCATCCTTGTACCCCTTGTCCGAGTCAGGAAGGTGAGTTACGAGATACATGGATGGGTCCCTGACTTTGAGGTAAAAATTTTGCTGAGGCATGACCCTCAAGAGGGAGTAGCAAAAGAGGATATCGTTCAACCCAACATTTTATCCCGAGACGCTTGTTGAGCTTTAAGACTCCCATTATTATCTTGAAGACATTGAGGCAACACTGCCCAGGGAAGAGGTGAAAATGGGAGAGGAACTGGAGGAGTAGAGGGGGCAGAGGGAACCTAATTTTGCCCTCTATGATGGCTTTGGTATAAAAAGACATTTCATCCTCGCCCCCAAGGGTACAGGAATACATAGTCAAGTTATAATCCTCTATGTCTACATATGGGGGATGCGATATTGGACCTTAAACTTATTAATCTGCTCGTCCCCCTTCACTCTGTACTTCCCCTGGCCTCGAGGAACTAGCCTGAGGATTCTCAGGGGCGGGGCGACATCGGGGCATCTCCAAAAATGATGAAAATTGAGGAAGAAGCCCGAAGAGGCTTCCCGAGGTTTGGTCATAGAATGGCAACCAGAAACACCTCCGATTATCGAAAAATCAAAAGAAAATAAAAACAGCAAGAAGAAGAAAAGAAGAGACAGAAGGGCGAAGAGAGGGAAGATACAAGAACTCACCAGAACGTAAACGAAAGTTTTTCTTGAAAACTTGAAGTGATTCCTTCCCTTAGGATATTCAGAAGCAAGGATGAGTCTGCTGGCCTTGAGACTCCGGTGAAAGGTTGGGCAGTAGACAACGAAAGGAAAGAGATCTCCTGCGAGGTTTCAGGCAAGGGCTCTCTGAAAAAGTTCAAAATGATGAAATGAGAGAGGAAGAGAGGAAACCCATTTATATAATACCCATCCCCATCATTTGGGCACGAAGCACGAAGAGACACATTTAATGCGCACGACCTCCTAAGCAGGGGAAAACGACTAGAGGCAATGATGAAATAGTTGGGGTAGTTATAGAACCCTTCGTCTCCTTACGACGCGTGTCCTCGGTGTCAGGAGATCGAAGGTTGGGGGACAGTTGATGGGACATTTCCTAGTATTTACTTAGTTGAAGGTAAGTGTTCACTTATATGGCAGGGGGGAGACGACTCCTACCCGATGTGGGATGGAGGTAAATGCTACTGTATTGTCTTAGGAAAGGGTACTGGCCAGCTGGAATCCTTGGTGTTCAGGGATGAGATCCGAACGCATAATTTCTACTCCTAACAGTTATTTTTCCATGCATGAGGAGAAAAATCATGAAGAGAGAAGTGTAGATAATTTGAATATAAACCAACACAACTCTAGGAATAGTTGTGATTGTGTCAACAGTTACAATCTTTCCATCGGGTGTGTCTATTCACCTGAATGGATGTCTTGCATGTCTATAAATACTAGTACATGTAGGGGTGGAGTCATCCTTGGGCTAGGGTGGGCACATGCCCCCTTCAATTTTTTTTATTTCATATTAAGTATGTATTTTTTGAAATAAAATTTAGACATATTTAATTGTACCTATCCTAATATTGTGTTTTGATGATTTTAATTTGAATAGACCCCTACCTAAATGATTATTAATATTTTTAACAATGTTATTGAAATCTAATTTAAGAGCCTAATACATTGCGATATTAAGTATAATAGTGATTTTTAATATTTAATAAACTCTACTATTTATCTAATGGTCACAAACCATTGAGTCTCTATCAATTAAATCTCAAATTAGATACAACTAATATAATTGTTAACTTTTATACATGTTTTAGACATGTCTAAATATGTTTTGAACATATTGGTGTTATTTTGTAATTTTTTTTAAATTATTGGTTTATTTCGTTATTATATAAAAATGTGTGCTGTCATGTAATAAACTATAGGATTATAAATAGAAGATTGCTATCCCGATTTTATATATAAAAAAAATATTGTTAATAAAATTAATTTGTAACTATTTCAAATAATAAAAACATACCAGAATCAGTTGTAAGTATTAATAATTAATCTTATTCTCAATAAGAAATTTTAATTATTATTTTTTTGTTTATGAGTATATCAATTTTTAATCTTCTATGTTTAAAAAATATTAAATATAATTTTAATAAATATAAATTTATGAACTTTTACGATCTATTAAAAAAAAATAAAATTAAAATATGGTAGTGTGCCCACCCTAAAAAAATTTTCTGACTCCGCCCACGAGTAAATGAAAGCCTATAGTATAGTGTCAAATACATACTCATCCTAATGATAAAATGTTGTTTTCTCTCGGTGTTTGCATCATTTTGATTTTCTCTCCTGAAATTGCATGTAATATCACAGCCAATATTGTTTCATTCGTGTGGGACCAACAGGTTGTGCTCGTAGTGGGAAAAAAGATTGCAACAAATCCCAAACTTGAAGTGGCCAATTTGTAATTAACATATAAATTTCTTTTAAATGAGGAAAAATGTGATTCAAAGATGAGAAATTTTGTATTTTCAACAAACTTTAGATCATTTTACTTTAACTTGATTTGATGCCTTCACTTTTAACAGCCCAAAACAAACCACATCGGTTAATTGCAAAAATTTAGAAGTGTTAGGGATAAATTGTTGAAATTGAAATTAGAGGAAGTTGATTGCAGTAAGACCCAAAATTTAAGGGGGTAATTTGTAATTAACCCAACATAAAATTCACCGTTGGGGTATGATATGATTACAAAGGTTCGATTCAAGAGGTAATTGACGAAAACGACAGAGAGAGGGACTGTTCAAAAAAAAAAATGAGTGAGAGAGAGAGAG